TCACAATGTATGTCCTTTACATGTATGTGTTACAAGGTTCACATATACTTGCGGGTTACTGAGAGAGGAGAATTGAAAAAGAAAAGAGAGGATGAAAAGAAAGGAGGAGAGAAAAGAGGGAAGAGAAGGGAGAAGAGTTGAGGACAGAAAATAGATCTAGCATGAAGTTAAATGATTGATTGAGGCAGAGTAGAAAGACAAGGTCTAAATCATTAGTGAAACCATTATCGTTGACTGCAGCTTCTCTGTCGTATAAATCACTTCTTAACTCACTGCTTTACTCCACACTTATTGTGTAAGCCACATAACCGTGAAACTGCCTACGTGCCTGTCTGCTTGTGGTGCTTTCATGAGTTTATTTGAGAGCCCCAAAATGATCATACCTCCGTGTGTGCATTTGTACTCTTGTTTATTCAAGCGCATATGTGAGCCTTAGACTGTGCGCGTGTGTTAATATTACAGAGAGCATCTGACTTGGTGTGATATGAGGTAAAGGAAGACGGGAGAGGGTGGATAATGTGGAGGGGATGACAATAAGAGAGAGACACATAGAAAGGGGATTTAAGTGATGGATAGACAGAGGCTGGAGGATAAAAGAGGATGAAGACAGATATATGCTGAGGAAAGAAAAGTCTATGAATGATAAAGAGAGAAGAATATGTGCATTTTAAAGAGGGAGACAAGGGGAGGAGAGGAGAGGGAGATGAGGAAATAAGAGGGGAAGGAAGACAGAGTGTGGCATTTGGCTCTCTGCCTGTGTTTTCTCATATGCAATGCTGAATAATGAAAGGATTGGCACACTAAGAGGGGGTGACGGTGAGGAGATGCGAAGGAGGGAAGGGAAGGGAAGGAAAGAAGGGGAGACATTAGATGGAAGAGATTGAAGAAGAGGAAGCCCGGAGGAGAGGAGAGGTGACGAAGAAACAAGCGGGCAGGGAGGCAGAGGGAAAAGGAGGTGGGAGAGAGGAAGGCACAAGAGCAGATGAAATATGATAGATAGGGTCCATTGGGCAGTGGTGAGGGGGCGGGAGAGGTGAGGAAGGGTGAGCTGAATGGAGGGGAGAGGAGAGGGAGCGAGCCAGGAGGAAAGAGGAGAGGAGGTAGCTGTCAGGATGATTTGAGCCTGCCCTCAACAGACCCTGACGCTGCACTTTTCCCTTTGCAGCTGTGTGTGTGTGTGTGTAGGTGTGTGTGTGTGTGTGTGCATGTTCTTTTCAAACACTCCAAATAGAGATCTTGCTTTGTGAGACAGAGCAGTGCAGTGAGCTAAGAGGAAAATTTGAAGCAGACAACGAACTACTGCTAAGTAGTGAACACTTTAAAAAAAAAAAGGATTTTGTAGCAGTTCTTTGACCTTAACTATCTTGGCAGTTGCCACATGGACGAGATGAATCTGCATCATAAATAATTTAAGAGAGGTGCTTTACTCTCTTCCAAATTCTAACTAAACTGTCTTTTCACTCCAATACATTCTTGAAAAAACTCCAAAAGAAAAGGAATACATATAAAAATTGTCAGAGGACTGGACTTGTTGCTGTGCAGAGACTAAAAATGTTGACGTCTTAGTTTTATTTGCAGGGTTGAAGAAATACTTTCAGATTTAGAAAAATACAGTTATTTGCTAAGAGTTAGAGGAGAGGATCGATACCATTCTCTCACATGAGAGTGAATCAATCTTCACATCTAACTCTTGGCAAGAAAGCAAATAAGCATATATCCTCAAATATCAAACTATTCCTTCCTGACTAAACCTAAAAGTGAACGTGATTGTGGTTGACAGAGTTGTGAGAGACTTTTCCAGTGCAAACACGTACTCTCATGATTCTCCTCAGAGCACACTGAAGTTGGAGGCTAAGGTGTGTTAACTAATAAAAGTCACACCAAACATAAAGCTCAGTCAGATTAAATTAGGTACACATTTCTTTGAACAGTTGCAGACTTCAGAACTTTTATCAACTGTGACTGCAAATAAAGGTGGATGCAAAAACAAAAAGAGTATGGTTGTGAACTGCATACCCACACAGAGTCTCCTCTGTCTCTGTACCGGTCCATCATGTGCTTTAGATCTACTCAAACGCCACAGCTGCAGTTGTTGGGTGACGACTGAGACCCGCCACCAGTGACGGACTAATGCGGTACCATGGTGCCTGTCATGTGAAGGGAAATGGGAAGTCACGGTGAGTCGTGATTGGCCACGGCTTTACTGATCTTAGCAGGGGCACGGCCTTCCTTTTCATCCCTCTCGCTCCCTCCAGCTGTCTCGTCACACTTAAAACTGCTACTGTATATGAATCTTAATGAAAACATCTCTCTCCGTCCGACCACCTCCACATCGATTTTTGCCTGCAGAGCCAGCAGAGTGCTTGACAAAATGTGATATGTTATAGATTACAGATTACCATCTTAAATTGCAATCAGGATCACAATAGATTAGATTGCTCCAACGTAGTGACATAATAAAACCACCCCTGCCTGACCGGGGCATGCAGATTCATAACAGCACTGTTTGTTTGTGTGTGTGTGTGTGTGTTGATAAATGACTTTCGTGCAAGACGGCTGCAATCGTGTGATGAGTTTTTATTATGTGACACAGAGGAACCATATTGCCTCTTCATAATGTAGTCTTTGTCTACAAACACAGATGACTCCTTCGCCTCAACAAGATGAGTGTGTGTGTGTGTTCTCCGCTCCACAAAGTGAGGATTAACAGCTGTTTTCTTATTGCTCGAAGCTGTAGTTTAGACACTTGATAAAAGTAACATATTGATAATGTTCTTACGGCCATATTAAAAAAAAAGGTGAACCTAAAAAGAGGGGCAAATGAGTCAAAACTTGACATGGAGACAGTGACACTGGTATGTTGTGTGTCAAGATTGTTGCTGACAATCACTGGGGGACCACGTACCTCGCCCTCGCCCCCCGCAGACACACACACGCACCGCACCCTCTGCTTCTTCTTCTTGGCCTCTTTGCCCTCTGAACCCAACAGCTCAATTTCAGCCCACCACAGACACACACACTGCAGGCGTTGGGCCCCTGCAGACTTAAATAGCTCTGCGCTGTAGGACACTTGTAAATAACAGCCTATTAGAGTTGAGTTGTTACCACCAACACTGCACATATCTCACACTTACTGGCATGGTTTTACAATTACTTCTCAGAAAATGTAACTTGTCATGACTCGAAGCAAACTGAAACTAAGAGCAACCACAAACACACACATACTGTGTGTGTGTAGCATAATGAATAAATCAGAGCCTATTGTTTCTAGCAGCCAAACCAGATTTCTTCCTCCTTGGAAACTACTGGACTTTAAATGGGTGTAAGAGAAAGAGGAAAGTAAGACCGGGGGGTAGACAGAGAGAGAGAGAGAGAGAGAGAGAGAGAGAGAGAGAGAGAGAGAGA